TCAGCTTGAAGCTAATAACTGGAACCTTTGAGACTCACTGACTCATGCCAAGGACTGCATTGACTTGTTCATGGCACATTAAGAAGTTTATGCAGCACAGGCTGTCCTTTAGGATATGACTCTCTTGAAGATGAACAAGGCCTTTCATGCCAAAGAAGAGAAGAAGTCAAAGAAGCAGGACAAGGAGATTTTGGCTGATACTGGATTTGGAAGGCTGTGGTCAGATTCAAAGATTCTTGAGTATCAGGAATGAAAGAGGGGAGAAAAAGAGGCAGAATACCAGGAAAGGGCTGCAAAGAAAAGGAAGAGGGAGAAAAAAAGGGGCTCAAAAGCAGGCCCTGGAACATGAATGGAAAGAGATAAAGATAGAATATGAACAAGAGCTGCAGAAATGGAAAAAGAATTGTGAAAGGTTGAAAGCAAAGGGAATGAAGGGGAGGGAACTGCCCAAAAGGCCCACTCACATTAGAAAGAAGGAGCTGGAGGCTCAGCTAAAGGCTGCAGACATGGACAACAGTGATGCAGGGTCTGGAAATGACAACAACAATGGAAATGAGAGCAACTGATGAAGGTTCAGAAGAAGTGCAGAAGTCCAGGTAATTCATCCGACATGTGAATGTAATGCTGTCACTGTTGTCTCAAGGACTGGGAACTTAGTGTGACGATTGACCTAAGTTCTTGAATAATTCATAGTAAATACTTGTCCCCTCTATACTGCTCAAAGAAGTAGATGTACATAGTCTAAACAAGCTCTAATTGCTTCCAGCTACTCATATGTACTGGAAACTCAACTGGAACAAAGCCACAAGTGATTTTCAATGTTTTGTCTCAAGGAGTGCTACATCACTGTATATTGCCTATTGTATCTGGTGGTGAAATATGGGAGCCCAAGTTCAGACCAGATCCAGAGAAGCACATTTCCCAAGAGACACAAAGCCGGACAGGTGCGAAAAGGATCAATAGATCAATTTACAACATGCAATAAACACCCATGTGTTTTTCCGAAGTGGTCGAGTTGGCTCGGTCGCAGTGTGAGAAAGTTACGATCACATGGTCGGACTGCGATTCACGGTTGAACGTTGAACTCTTAACTTTAAGCTCTCAACGATGAGTACACAACCTGTACAGATCGTCGCTCGTATACGACCTCCTCTACTCAATGAGCAAACCGATGATGCTATCTCCGTTATCCCGATTCCCCCAGGTCATGCCTTGACCACTGCTCGCCCCATTCCGTTTACGTCCTGGGTTTCGATATCCTCTACTGGAATGAAAACTGGCACAACTCAGGTTCAGAACTCACAGACAGCCTTTCATACGGCTTTCGGGCCCGAAACCACCCAATTACAACTCTTCGACACGGCTGTAGCACCGCATCTACTACCTTTGTTGAAAGGACACACTTTAACGATCCTCGCTTACGGACCGACGTCGTCTGGTAAGACACATACAATGGAAGGATCGTCTACCGAACCAGGTATTATTCCGCGGTCGGTCAAGGACCTGTTCGATATGAGCGAGGAGGGGAAGGAGAGTGGGAGAGTGATGAGCTTCGAGGTTCATATGAGTTATTTGGAACTGTACAAGGATGATGCGTTTGACTTGCTCGTATCGCAAAGCACGCACGAAAAACTACCAATCAGGACGAATGCAAAGGGCGAGACGTTTGTTGTGGGATTAACGAGGGTTCCGATCAGGTCATTTGAAGATTGGAAAAATGTATTTCGGTATGCCTGATTTCGTTTGTGATTCTTCTCCTTACCTACGTTTCTTGCAAGTGCGGCTTCCCAAAATCGTACGACCGGTGCCACGCTTCTGAATCGCGCCTCATCTCGCTCACACGCAATGCTGTCGATTGAACTTGAAGTCATCACTGCACCGACACCCGAAACTCGCGAAATGAGTATGCACATTTGTTCTTCATCTGATTATTACTCTCTTCAATATTATTCTTCAGCGTACAGTGGCAAGATCAACTTGGTTGACTTGGCTGGATCCGAGAATAACAAGGTACACGGAATATCACGATTCTCACTGCGCTATGTACTTACTCTTGATCTGTAGCATACTGGAAACTCGCTCGCTAATCCTACTCGTCTCGCAGAATCGGCTGCAATCAACAAATCTCTTTCAACACTTGGGCAAGTCGTGCATGCTTTAAACACTGGTGCTGTACGTTCTCTTCTCGACATCTTCTTTGTTGATTCTTTTTTCGCTATTTCCTTCCCTCCTTCTGCTCTTTACTCACTGAATCTTTCCATTTCACATTTAGTCCCGGGTACCTTATCGTGATTCCAACCTCACTCGGCTCCTGTCCGCTTCACTGGGAGGGAAAGCTTTGGGCAAGACGATATTATTGTGTAATCTAGCACCGGGCGTCAAGTTCCGCTCGGACGTGCTGAATACGCTCAAGTGAGTACGAATCATTTGAAGGGTTGATATCGCGATCTATCTTCCGATCACCTCCGTGAATCTTTCTCCCAATCAGAGTACTTACTAACCGTTGCCCTCTCCTGCTTAATCCAGCTTTGCCTCACGAACGAAAAACATTGAAACCAAGACGGTCGTGAATGAACGCGAAAAACCTGCTCCAGCCGAAGTCATAAAAGAGAGGGAAACCATTCCACCAGTAGGACCTCTGACGAGACGAACGTCAATACAAAGTCGACGTGTATCTGCATCACATATCCCGGCTCCTGGGTCAAGAATACCCTCATATGGAGCTGGCAGCTCAAGGTTGAGTGGCTTTGGGCTTGGGCCTACTGGTACTGGCGCTGGGTTAGGAAAGGCTACTGCTATAGATGATGCGGAGTTGAACGAGAGGATAAATAAGGCGGTCGAGACCGAAGTGAAACGAAGGTTAGAAGAGCAGGAGGCACAGAGGAGAATGGAGGAAGAGGAGAAGGAGAAGAAGCTCCAGGAAGCTAGGCAGCTGGAGATGGAATCACAACAGCACAACCTTGTATCAACAGCTCACAACCAGGAGACCCAACCAGTTAGTGTGAACATGGATCTAGGTGCAAACGAAGATATCATAGAAGTTGAAGCGGAGGAAGTAGAGGTCGAGGCTAAATTGCAGGCCGTCGAAGGCATGGATGTCGACCAACGACATCTTGAAGTCGGTCGTGGCGTGTTGGGTTCTTCGCCGATGAAAGTAGACCCTGTCGGATACGAGGCTCATGATCATCCGATACCCAAAGGCGAGCGCGAAGACGACGACAAGGAGAGATCAAAGATGGGGGAACTAGAAAGGAAGTACAGAGAGCATGTCGCTCAACTGGAAGCTCAGTTGGCTGCTGCCTCATCGTCGGCTTCCACTTATACCGCTGCATCCAGTACCAATGTGGCTGCTGACGGCTCTGCCTCGATGTTCTCCGCCTCTGTTTCTTCTTCATTGTCAGTGTCAGGCTCTGGATCTGGGTCGGCAGCCGAGTCAACTTCGATATCGTCTTCTGTTTCTGGGACTTCCCCTAACATTCTTGGGACCTCTCTTACCGCGGCTGCCGAGGGTTTATTGAACTTTACAGACGATACAAAGTCAACCGAGCACATGTCTGTCAGCGAGAGGAAGAAAATGGGGAAGATATATGTAGACCTGGCCAGAGGCTATACTGCCAAGTGGGTTAAATGCTTTTGACTTCGTCATTTTACTTCTTTTCCTACATTCATTCTGTTGACATGGGCGTGGTAACTTATATTTGTTTGTTATAGGCACGACCTCGCGACAGCGCTTTCACTCTATCGACATGCGGCGCTGTTTGTTCCAGATAATACGAAGTTAAGGGAACGGTATGTCGTTATGTCCTGATCATTACTTCCCGTCCTCAAAATCTCGTATTTTTCTCTTTCACACTTCCAGAATCATCGACGTTGAATGGGCAGTCAAGAATGGAAAATCCTACGTCCCGACGCCGAAAAGACAACATCCTCGAGAAGGAGAGGAGAAGCCCATGTCAAAATCATCCAAATTATCCAAAACCCGCCGGTCGTCTCATTCGGCTTCTTATTCATCAAGAAATATCGATGACAAGAGCAAAGAAAATTCGAATTCGAACCTAGAGAGTCCCCGGAAACCAAGTTCGTCAGATTCAGAGAGTCAGCGAGCCTCTTCATCTCTCAAAGGCTCGAAACGGAAACGCAGCCTCAGCAGAGAGCCTGTATCTGATTTGGATTATGTCTTTGTGAATCCTTCGATCTCTTCAAAGACGGGACATGGACACGACCACGGATTTGGTAAAGATCTCGGGAACATTGACGAAGAAGTCGAAGTTGAAACCGATTCTGCTCACCCGGATGTAGATGAATTCGGGGTATCAAAAGTGTTGAAAGGAGTTCTTCGTCGTTCACCAAGGAAGAAGCAAGTCGAACAACAACCGGGTTCAGCGTCTACACTCGCGATGATGAGAAGTCCTACATCTGTTGCGGATAAACGCAAGATTCTGGGTATGAGCTTGAGCGGTGTAGATTCAATTGGGTATACGTATCGTACGCCGTCGGGAGGGATAGGGAGGAATGCGAATGAGAGTGTGAGGAAGACGAGGAAGGTATCAGACTTGATGTATGGTGGGCTTGAGGGGCTTGGATTCTCGGTACGTGAACACGGTGAAGATGTAGAGGGCGGTGTCGACAATCTGCATGGAAAGCAGAAACGGGCCCGTTTGGATTGACCGAAATGGTAACGTTTGTCCGAGGTGCATACCATCCTTCGCGCTCCTGAATAAGTTCTGTTTTCGCACATCCTTTCATCTGTTCCGTCTTGTTGTTGATGTTCTGTTATATTTTATGATCATTGTTTCTTTTTCAATGGCAGTTCCTTGCATACTTTATGATGATATGTGAACGGTTTCTTTCACCATGTTCGTTCTCAGTGTTTTTGCTATCCCGCATTTCGCTCTTCCTCGCTATGTTTTGTTCTTGCTATGTTGTGCTATTGTGATTCCGTTGGAAAATAGATCGTTGACTACGGAAGCTATAGAGGAAAGAAAAAATCAACTCAATAAGACCCCGTAGCTCAGTGGTAGAGCGTGAGATTCCAGAGATCATAGCGATTCCTCAAGGTCATCCGTTCAATCCGGGTCGGGGTCATATTTTGTGCAATCAATGTATAATTCTGCTATCAAACTTCTATCTACTCTTTGCTTTACCCGGTATTCACCGGTTTTTTTTATTTCTCTGAAATGTCCACGTATATCAACTTATGTCTTTTCCCCAACTAAGTGGGCACGCAAATTCAATCCAACTCACAGCCGATGGCACTCTTCTTATCAAACAAACTTTGCTGTTGGAACATGAATTCTACACTATGATGGAACAGGCGAGGGCTATGGGCGCGTTAGATGCACCAGGAAGTGATAATGTACTAGACGAACGAACTCTACTCGCTCTCAAGAATCTCAATCGATTGAGCAGATTTGTATCAAAGTTTTATGGGGTGTTGACAGAAAGTAATGTTGGCGTCGAGGCGTTGAATGGCATTGAAGGAGAGGTTCCTAAGACATCGACTGGGGATACAAACGCGAAACAGTTCCTGGTCCTCTCGAATCTTATCAATTCTTTCAAAAAACCCAACGTTCTTGATCTCAAGCTCGGCACCGTCTTGTACGATGAGCTTGATCAAGCCTGTAGCGAAGACAAGAAGGCCAGGATGATTAAGACAGCTAGAGAAACAACCACTGGTGAGTGCGGGTTACGGTTGACTGCATTTCAAGTGAGTGGATTGTAACAAACTCTGGCTTTCGGTCGTTCTTCTTGTTCAATCTTTGCGGAGATCTTTTCGTCCTATCCTGTAAGCACATGCTAACATAGTCTTTGTGATCCATCTGCATCCAGGTTCATCCTCAACCTCCTACAACTTCCGTCGCATATTCAGATACGAATTTGCTCATGCCGGTGACCACTCCTAAGATATACGGCAAATCTTTGAAGAAAGAACAGCTTCCCGAGGGAATCAGGAGGGTTTTTCCAGTACTTGGAGAACCGATCCCCATTTCGGTTCCCGGCGCTGCATCTCCAAGCTTGGGTTCCTCTTCTGCCTCTGGCGCATCCACCCCAAGATTCGATGGCTTTTCTACTACTTCCTTACCCCTGAATATTTCAATCTCCACACTTAACACAGCTGACTCTACGCCCGTGTCTCGCACAGATCTCGGCCTCCCACCCTCCATTCTACTACCGATCCTACGCGCAATCCATAACTCGCTCACGCATCTTCATTCAATCTTGAAAGATATCGAGATACGGATCATCGGAGGGAGTTTGTTAGTCGTTTGGGAGGGAGATCAAGAGAGAGCGCAGGAGGGTGTTAATTGGATGAAGGAGAGGGAGAGGATGATAAGAGAGAGAATTAAGAGGGACTTTGGAGATGATAACGATGAGGAGTATTACAGCGATGATGATGATGATGATGAAGACACGTCCAGCGAAGAAGACGAAGACGAAGCCTCTAAAGGTACATCTGCTCCTGGCTCGGAAACATTCAACGCGCTGACGACACACATAGTCAAAGACTCCTCTGAATCAAGACCTCAAACTAGTGCTGCTTCTCAATCGCTACCATCCGAACCTCTGCCTAATCGCGAAAAACCGAAACGCAAACCCTCTGCACCATATAAAATTGCCTTGATTGATTTTGCCCATACTCGGTTCGTTCCTGGTCAAGGATCTGACAGCGGAGTGCTGTTGGGATTGGAGACATTTGCTGAGTTAATTGAGGACAGGATAAAGGAGGTCGAGGAATCTGAGAGGGGAAGAACAGAAGAACCAGGATAAGGTTGAAGAGTTGAGTTGGAAGAGTGGCTGGATAGGTGTAACTATACAGGAGCAGAAGCTAGGAGAGAGACAGGAGAACCTTAGTTTCTGAGCAGTGGACCGAGGTATGACAACAGGGCTAACACGATTACGAGGATGAGTCGGATGAGTACAGCGTGACTAAAGAGATAGGAATGAATATGAATACATTTCAAAAGGATGGTGAGTACTTCAACTCCTCTAGGTATAGAGGTTTATTATACGCTAAGTATTTCCCGCTTTGACATTTACTTATAGAGAAGTGGTTTTAGTCGATCGATCTACATATCCGCAGTTACCTCCTTTCCTTATATTCATTTTTTCCCCTCATCTCGTATACCTGGTACCGTCTACATACTACCGCCCTTATTGCATGTTCACTCGTTCTTACTCATATATGGACTACAGCTGACCTTAGAGTTCGTTCGGCAAACGGCAACGGGATTCCTGATCAGATTCCACTGCCATGATTATCGTATTGAGAAATCAAATTTTGCATAGATACTTTACCGCGATTCTTACATCTCTTTTATTTCTTGTCAAACAAATGTCACTATCCATATAGACTTATAGTTTTGTCTGGAAACATGGCTGGCATGTATGAGCATGATCCCGTGCCAATTATCACTCAAAAAAACATGTCAAAGCCTTGTCATTAAAATCAAAAACCCAGCCAAAGCTTCTGCAGCATTGAAAGTGGTCAAAGACAAGAAGGAAGGTGGGAAGAGAGGGAAGAGAGGAAGTTCCTGCTGACCCAGAACAAAGGTTGACAAAGCTGCTGAGAATGGTGGAGAAACAGAGAAGGGAGAGTGGAATGTTGCCTTTTGGTCTGACAAGGACACAAACACAATGTGGACAATAGATCAAAGGTTGGGGAGGTGGAAATTCTCCTATGGCTATGTATGAATCTGGTTTGGATGCCCAGTGATGAGTCACTTCACCCATGCCTTTCCAGAGAGACTTGAAGTATGATATGGCTGGGCCCAGTTGTTAAGATCATGTGAACTCCAGAATCACAGAGTTCCTCACAATAGGATTGCAGAGATGGATAGGAATGCAAGGGGATCATTCCCTTGTGAAGGGAGGAATGATTTGTGGAGTGAGGAAGAGGTAGTCAGACGTTGACACCACTATTGGTAGTGCCCTCAACACATTGAGTGTCCAATGTAAAGAATAGAGGATGATCTAAGTCAATATTCAAACTGAGGACTACCTAATCTACACTGAGGTTTTATACCATACTGTACATAAGGATTGCAAAGTGATATTATCCCCAAATAGGTTAGTGTGCAGAAGGCATGAGGAAGAACAAAGGATGAATATAAAAGGTATAGTACAGATTGGATAATGTTCTGGAGAGATAATGAAGGAATCCTTTGCAGATTAACTCTCTGCAAAGGTGGGAATTGGATTGCAGAATTTTGGAGTAGCTCTCTGCAAAGGCAGGAATTGGATTGCAGGAATGTGGAATGCACACTCTGCATACAGATAACACCAGTAGCCAGGAGTTGCCTACAGAATGGCAAGAAAAGCAACAGTAGTGAAATGATAAAAGGCTAAGGTGAGAAGTCTTGTCAGCCACTTGCTAGCTCACAAAAGAGACCAGGCATCACACAACAAGAAACAATCAAAAGAGATGATATAGCAATGAGGATAGAGACCTCCTAAATACTAGTCTAGCTACCGAGGAGAATAGACAAGATCAGAGATAGAGACTACTTCCACAAAAAATATCTTATATACATATACTAAGATGAATCCTTGAGAACTATCCCATGTTGCAGCCATGAGGCTCTACCCTAAGAGTTGCTTGTATCCATAAGTATAGCTGTCCACATACAACAACAAAACAATAAGGCAATATAAAAGAGCATGTGGTTACCAAAGGTAAATGGCAACAATCTGTCAATGGTCTGACAGACACAAGATAGTCATGTCATTGTTCTACAATAATTACAATAACATGAGAGCAGCAAGGCTGTCACATGTACATAAATAAAAGAAAAGGAAAAGACAAAAAGATAATACAGACACATGTACAAGTGCCTACAGCGTAATGTACCTAAAAGGGAATGGGTGTCTAAAGTACTAAAAGGGAAAGAAGAAAAAGAAAAAGAAAAAGAAAAAGAGTCAATTCGTAACAAGTCTTCTGAGTTTTGTGGCATTGATATCCACCCTTGGTGGCATTGTAAGAGGTAGAGAGGATGTACAGGGCTGTGCTTTTTGCAAACCCAAGTTCTGCACTAATAGCCTTAAAATCCATCCCTTCTTTATCATGCATGCAAACAATGCAAGCCCACTTGGTTGGAGTGCATTTGACCATTGTATTTGGTAGATTAGGAGTTAAGGTATAATGTTACAAAAACATTGGGGAAATAGCATGGTTTTGGTTGAGCTGTGTGTAGTCAAGGTTGAAAGTGTTCCATATTGTGAACATTGATCAGACCTGTTCTCACATAGATTTTTTTACATGGCTTAGTTCTTTGTAGTTCCTCAATTCCTGTGGTAGTTCTGATTTTAATATGCATGGCTTCATTTTGGACACTTAAAGCTAGTCTACAGAGTACATGGTTGAGGAGAAACTTGGGATATACTAAAAAAATGTGTCCAGCAGGCACCTGTTCCATTCCAAAGTGCTCCCACTGTATAATCATAATAGAAAAGGTTAGTAAGTAAATGAATAAGAAAGAACAATAAGCCAGGATGTGAAAGCTGTGTCCAACCACTAACATAGAATCCAACTAAGCCAAAAGGCCACTATGACAAGGTAATTGTCATAGGTGATTGGAACTATATATAGTGCATGTATTAAGATCTGTGGCATAATGTTATATCCATGCAAAGCTAAGGTGTTTCCGAGACTCCGCAATCCCTTTGCCAACTTTACTTCTTTTCTTTTCACCCCTACTCCGTCGTGGAGTTGTACTCCGCAATCCACTTACTCCACATTTCTTGTCCTCATCATTAAGCGATGTTAATTAACCCTTTTGGACATTCCTTTGTTTTCCAACATGCTGTCCACATGTTTAATCTACCTATTCGGAGATAGTGAAGCGGCGTGTACCTTAGCTAGCTGTAAAGTATAAAGCTATGATATCCAGTAGGTAGCTCCTTAGTTTAAATATCAACTTTGATAGCACCCTTTGATAGTGGTAGTCATCTCAATAGATAACAACTCCTTCTGTTTCAACTTCGACTACCTCAGTATGATTGCGGAGCTCCTGCGATTGGAATTACCTTTTGTTCCCATCGCTTTTGGACAGCGATGTGTCGAGGATGATATTAATAATATCGTCAAC